TATGATAGTTCGCAAAGTAAACTTTCGACGTGTATCATTTCCACATACAATATTTAATTGGAGTGGTTCAAGCGCCTACACGAAGCTTATTTTATAAGCTAACTAATGACATAGGTTTGGACATGATCTAACGGTCCGAACAAATTTTGGACACTCGAGGTATAAAAAGTTATTTTTTCTAAAAAATTTAGCGCACCTAAGTACTTAAATTGATCACATTGTCCCATAAGACCATTTTAGGCATTGAACCTAGTCCAAAAAGGCCTTATACACTTGATTGACAATAATTTATAACATACATATGCACAACTTAAGATTTGGCTTTTCAATAGCCCATTTTGACATATATAAATTTCCTTAAAAATATCATCATAACATGGTATTTGGGCTAAAACCCAATCCATTCATCAAAATTTCACCACTAGCACATTCACATTGAGTTGTCAACTAAATCATAGCTTCTGTTTCTCATTTCACCACATATATACACATATAGGCTAAGATTTACCAAAATTCACAACAATTCTCAACTATCACAACTTTAAACATGCATGCATATCTTATGGCAACTTTATATACAAATATACATAAGTAGGGTGTTCATTACACAAAATTCAGAGATTTCACAGCAATGACACCACTATATTGATCTTGACTCTTTCCCCTTGCCTGGGTCACCATTATAACATGTAAAAATGTAACCATGGGGATGAGATAATAATCTCAGTAACAGAATAACTTTCTACTACTGATTATCATATGCAACCATAAGAAAATATAACATAATATATGAGTAAATATAATATAAAATACACATTTCATTTTAATTCACATCAATATATAATTTCATCACTTTCACAACTTATATTCACTATAATTCACCACTTATTATAGCAATAGCATGATCATTACCAACCAAACCTTCAAATCACCCTAACTCAAAATTATAGGCTCATTTCAACCTAACATACACTCTTATCAGCCTTAAGCTCACCTTCAGTGGTAGAATCATCTGGCTAAAGGCATTCTAACTCACTTCTGGACTATGGATTCTCCTAATACATACAATGGAGTGTTGTTGACTCTAACATCGCATCGCATCGATATTAAGGAGTTCAAATCTCTAACACCACATCTTAATAGGTACTAAAGAGATAACATCGCACTTCAATAGGTACTAAGAAGATAATCTTTAACACCGCATCTCAAAAGATACTAAGGAAATGTAATTATCCAACACCGTACCCTATCGAGCACCAATGAGAATAATGCCATACGGTCTTTCTCTACTTCTCTCTATGGGTGAACTCCAACCTCTATGATCATGCTTTCATATAAATCATCTCTTCATATATATTAGAAAATATATAATCACAAAATATGCAATTCCATAAACTCGATTCTTTAGAAATCATTTTCATACATTAAACATTCATTTAACAAACATGCTCATTCTAAGACATTTTCATGCAATAATATTCATACTTTCAAATAGTTATGATAGATAATCAAATAGATAAAGTTATTCAGTTATCTTAACCCTTCTGTCATAAGAAATGTTACCCATGGATTTAATAACCATTAACGATTCACTACTAGCTTCTTTTCTCAATTCACACGCAAAATATGCCAATCTACATAGAATTGACATAATTAGTCAACTGGTCTAATTGATCAAAACTAAATAATTATTAATATAAACTACATCTAATCATTTACTCACTTTTACTTATCCAATTTAGGTTCGTCACCACACAATTGCCACTTTTTAACACTTTTAACGATCCCATTTCACTTTTATATGATTTCCACCCAATTTTCCCTCTAACCTAGGGCCAAATGGAGCCTACAACTTTAAAGCTCTATCATTCAACTCCAAACTAGTCATAAAGCTTTAATTTAACTCTTGAGAATCTTTTTATTACTATAAAGTAAGAAACTAACCTAGTAAATTTTCTCGATCCAATTTCTCTAGAATTCATATTAAGAGAAATTATAGTAGAATTAAAGGTAAAGGCTGTATGATACTTACCCAATAAATTATCGGTTGGAAACCTCTTCCAAGCTCCTAAGAATCTTTGCCCTAGCAGCCAAAGCCTTCTTCTTCTCTCCCTTTCATGCTTTTCTCTCTTCCCTCCTTAAACTCATAACCTAGACAAGCATAAATCAGGTCATTTTTTGTGCCATGTGCCACAGTATAGGTAGCTTGTGCTGCAGCACATGGCATAGTGAGGAGAATCCTTATGGCGTGCACACACTTCGTCCTGAAACGCAATTCTTCCACTTGTATCATTCATTCAACACCTCAAAGACTCAAACTATCACATGGTCATCCAAATTTCTAATCACTGATTAATTACTAATTCATCCCTAATTAGTAGCTAATTATAGGATTAGAAAATTAAGATGTTACAATGATGAAGGAGGAGTTTCTCTACAACTTGGTACTAGCATATTGTATAACTATGTTTTATATATTTTGTCTATTAATGCAAACAAGTCTTCATTGTTCTGCATTTCATATGAACTCTAGAAGTGGCATCAATGTATAATGTTCTTTTGGATTATAAACATGTAAATGGATAGTATTATATCCTAATGAATTAATATTAATTATCAATATATATTATAAGCTTCATAATTATCATGCATTAAAAGATGATGCAAGATATACTAATTTTTAATTAGTTGTCAATTACACAATTAGAAGTATTTCCTAGAAAATGAATGGTTGCGATATAGTATAACATTCCATAAAAATTAAGATACCAATATATGATAAAAAATTTTTTCCAAGCTTTATAATATGTGTATTTAACATTTAAAGTACATTATTTTTCTACTCTTATGAATGTTAACAGAATACCACAATACTCAATTTTAAAGCACACTAATTATAAAACCTTAAATAAAGTTATCCGCAACAATTATTTAATGAAATCATTTTTTTGTTTTCATGAAATTTTTGTGATGGACTGCCCTTTTTTTTTTTTCCATCCATAGGCTCTTCAACTTATGATAAGCAGGAAACCAATATGATAGATTTTAGTAATCAACACTTTTAGACTAACTTGGTATCACCCTTGCCTTTTGTTGCCCTTCTTGTGAGAACCTTAAAGTAAAAGTATAAATGAAGTCAAACTCAGCCTTTCTAAATTAAGGTTTGTAAAGTAGATGGCTATTTACCTTGTTTGGTTAAGTCCATGCCATTATAGATAAAGTTATTATTACTTTCTTTTATCTACCTACTTGAAGCAAAAGTATTTAGTCCTCAACTACTTTTGCAATTGCTTCAACCCACATATAGAAGGCGGTTGACATGGTGAATTTTGACATTTAACAATGGCCTTATTCTTAGATATTGCAATAGCTCATTAGGCTACACACATGTTTTCAATCCTTTTATAGAAACAAATTCAAGTTTCATATCATTTAAGCCATCAACTATTTCATTCAATTACCATATTAGTGTTTCATATTTAGTATCACAATAAAAACATATCATCTAATGCTTTTCATGTGTAACCAAAGCCTTGGTTCATTTGTTGAGTCTTTGAATAGACAATACTTATGCTATTTTTGGTTTCTTGAACTAATTAAAGATATATATATATATATATAATAGAAAGTAGAATGGTAAAATAAATAATTATTTTATGTGCATTCTGTTTAGGACTTATATTCACCTACACTTAAGGAGCAATAAATTATGTTGTTACACACATAAAAAGGATCAAATTAAAAAGTTTCATCTTTCAAAAGAGGCTGCTCATATATTAATTTTCATCACCTTATTTGTGACAATACATGAAATAAATAAAAAATAATTGTTAGATGTAACATCCAAAAGTTTAAATTTGAAATAAATTATTAATTAAGGGATACATTAATTAAAAAATTAATTAATTAATTTAATTATGCTTTCAGGTTGTAAATTAAGTTTTTTGATCATATTTAGTTCTAAATTGAGTTATGATGAAAGTTGGATCAAATCAGGTGGCATCTAGGGGAGCAAAAGTGAGTTTTTCTCTCTCTAGGTTGTAAATTGACTTTTTTGATCATATTTGACTCAATCTGGGCTTTATCATTCCACATCATACAATCAATAAATTAAAATCAGAGTAATAGCCTTTATTTGTTTTTAAATCGTGGGATCCCGACTTCTTAAAACATATATTTAAATAAAAGGGGCTAACGGAAGCGTAAACATAATCAAATGACTCAAAAAGCCATAACTTCTCAATCCTGAAAAGGGGCCATGCATTGCGACGTGCAATACGTGCGCCAAGGCATGTGGCATAGAGCCACATGCTCTATTTTTGATTGTGTCATGCACCACGACGGGCACTCATGCATTGTGGTATGTAATTTAAAATTTCCACTGTTATTTATTAGCAAAAATGATGAACTTTCGGCATGTGCCATTTTCATAACCTATGTCTGATTGAAGTGATTCAAGTGTCTACACGAAGCTTACCATATATACTAGCTAATAGAATAAGTTTAGACTTGATCTGATAGTCCAATCTAAAATTAGATACTCGGGTGTAAAAAGTCACTTTTTCTTTCAAAAACTTACACTCGAAGTGCTCAATTCTTATTTATTATCCCATTAGAACCCTTCAGGCCTCAAACCATGTAACATCCCAAAATTTTAAGACTCGGATTTATAAAGATAAAATAAAATAAAATATCTATAGTTAAATTAAAATTTAGAATAATTTGATAGAGGTCCAGAGTTTGAATTTTACTAAGCAAAAGTTTAGTTTTATTTGATTTTTAACTATGAAAAAAATTGCCAAAGTTGACCCGGGCTTTTGTGCAATAATAAAAAATGTTGGGCCATTTCTTATAATTTTCCCCAAACTTTTAGATCAGCTTTTATAAGAGGAAAACCAGACCAGAAATGCAGAAAAGAAAACAAGGAAAGAAAGAAACACGTGAGAGAGAGAGAGAGAGGAAGAAGAAAGGAGAAAGAGAGGGAGTTAGTCTCGGATCTAGGAGTCTTTGCGACCGTTGCGAGCTCGGCTACACGATAGGTAAACTCCCTACTTCAATCCTCTTCTCTTTCTCTTGATTTTCTTCAATTTTTGGAAGAGGAGATTTTTGAATTTTGATTCCAAAGGCTTTATTCTTGTAAGCTTTTATTTCTTTGGATCCTAGGGAGCATGTTTTGAGTTTCTATATAGTGATCAAATATTTTGAGTGGATAATTGGATGAAAAGAGGTGTTTTGGGCACAAAATAAATCCTGAGAAATTGGGTTTTTGCTCTTCAATGGTTTAAGCTTATTGATTTAGTTATAATTTTGCTATTTGAGCCCAATAAGATTTAAATTAAGGTTTGGTTTTCATTATAAGGGCTAATGGTGAAAGTTGGTGACACTAAGTGAAGGTTTTTAATTGATAAAAAATTATATAAATTGGAAATTAGCCTAATGATGGCTAATAAATGGTTTTGGTGGTTAAGTGATACTATGTGAATGGTTGGTTAAATATATGGACCATTGGGATGGATTATGGCTCATAGACCCAAGTTGTGTGGTATGAGTTATAGTCTTCATTGATGCTATTTGTCATGATAAGTGATGTGGATCACTTATATGTTGTAGAAAATTGTTGGTGGAACTTATTGAGAAGTAAGGAACAAGCCGAGCCCTATTTTGTACAAGGGGAACCCTTTTGGTACTAAAGGGTTGAGGTAACAGGGGAATTTATATTTGTTATTACTTTGTTTTAGCTATTTTTGAATAAATATTACTAGTTATCATGCATTACATGTTTTAAAAGATTAAATGTGCTTTATAAGGGGTTATGGGGTACTACTTTGATTATAGTGCAAATATATTTTCTAATTGTTTAATAACAATGTTTTTATGGAAATGAGATTTATAAATATTATACTACTTTATAGTGTTGAATGGTCAATACTCAGGAAAGGTAGATAAGAGTAAAAGGCATGATCTCGGTGGGAGTTCACCAATGAGAAGGTGTGGATTTTTGATATTCTATGGCACACTGTCAGTACTCAGTGTTGTCTTACGTATTGTGGGCTCAGTGCACTAAAGTGGTTAGTGTATTGAGTGTTCGACACCTCTCAGTGGGGGAGGGAATCCGACATATGAAGTGTGAGGTTGAGTGCCTAGGCCAAGGTAGCCCTCATATAGAAAGTAAGTTGGGCTGGCTCTGGGAGGGAGTTAGCTTTAACTGCTTAGGATTCACGTCGAAGGGGCATAGGAGGTTCGGTGGATTAGATCATGCCTTAGATTATGTTTTGTGCCTGTGGAGGTACAAGTAGGTATAAGGTTTACCTGCGAGTTAAAGAGTGCCAGGGGGCATTCTGTTAGTCATGAAAGGCCATACTGGCCTAAGTCATGCATTCATGCATTTTAAATGGCTAAATTATATACTATGTTGAATTTATTATTCGTTTATTTGATTATGGCTTACTTTGTAATAATCAATGTAGATTTCACTGTTACTGAGACTGTGGTTGTTTTACCCCTTTCTTTTCAATATTTTAGGTCCAGGCGAAGGATCCAGTGGTGGACGGGGAAAGGAGCAAAGCTAGGGGTTTGCTTGTGATTTGTAAAGAACTGCAACCCCTTTCTTTTGAGCAAATATATTGTAATGTATTTAAGATTAGGGTGCTAGTAGGATATGATTATGTGTGTGTGTGTGTGAATATGTGTGGATTGTGTGCTTGTGTATGAATTTTTGTCTGTTTGCAGACTTGTGGCTAGGAAACTTGGTTATGGTGTGTGGTTTTGATGGATTTACTTAGTAGACCAAGTTTCTATTATAAGCAGATATTTATTTTGATATATATGTCATTTTATAAGCAAATGCAAAGTGGTTGCATTGCAAATGATGTGCTATGGGCAAACATACACCTTGGATAGAGAGAGTGGGTGCATGGGCCCCACAAGGAGCTCTGAGCCAAGTGAAAATGTTTAGCATATGTATTTATATAAATACATGGTATTTGGATTGATTTGTGACCACTCTTGTATGATTTGTGCATTTTGGGGGTTTAGGGTCCATTTTGGGAAATGGCACCCGGGTGGTCAAATTTTGATATATGGGATTTTTTCATCATTTGAATGTTCTATCAGGTGTTTTTAGTCTTATTTGACGTGTCCAAAGTGTTCCCACAGGTTTGTAACCATTAGGATGAGATTTGGACAATTTTGAAAATAGTTTTTACCAAAAAGCTGCACTTTTGCATCCGGATGTCCAAATCTTAATCCGACCGTTGGATTTCTCTAAAATTTGGGTCATAAGTAAAACCTTTTATAAGCTTCGTGTGGGCTTTAGAATCACGTCGATCGGATATTGGACGGAGAAACGACGTACTCCGAAATTTGGTCTGGAGGTGCTGTCATGACAGCATTAAATTGCTGTCATGACAGCTACAGTGTTGATTTTGTAACCTGCACAAAATTCAATCCATCCGTTGGATCTTTTAAAAATTTAGTATGATCACTCCGATCGGAGGTCAGATGATGAAATGGCGCACTCCGGAAGTTGGTCCGGAAGTGCTGTCATGACAGCTTCAAATTTTTAACATGTCTAATTTTAAATCCAACTGTTGGATCTTTTTGAAATTTGGTATACTTATAGTACCCTTTGAATGTGACGTGTGAGTTTTAAAATTACTTCGATCGGAGGTCGAATGACGAAATGGTGCTTTCTGGAAGTTGGCCCAGGAGGGCTGTCATGACAGCATCTTTTTATTTCATTTTCATCTAGCTTGCTTCCGCGTGCTATAGGTAGAACCTATAAATTTTTTTTAAAAGGTTTTAAATATTTACTTTGCAATTGTGTATTTGCTTAGTAATTTAAATGGTTTGTTTCCTAAGTTGGTTTTAGGATTAATTCCTTAACCACACTTAGTTTATTTGAATTGTATGATTTTTGGATAACACTCGGGGAAAGTGTTACAAACCAAGTCCAAAAGGACCACATACACCTGATTAACACTACATATATCAAATATCACATCAATATCCTATTTTGGCCTCTCAAAGCCACATTACACAATTGTGGTCTTATATGAGGAAAATATATATACAACACATATTCACATATACAACTAGACTTGTTCCATATTCAACCCTTTGGCTCTTACATATAGGGCTCTGTCTCACGATATGGTTGGGAATCATAAATGTACTCGACTCTTTTAAATAGGGCTCCACCTCACTATTTGTGTCAAGTTCTCATTATTCGTGTCAAATTCTTAAATCACATCATAATTCATATTCAATTCAAAATCAACACATATAAATAAGTGGAACAAGTTACAAAATAACATATACTTATTTGATTCGCATTTAAGCCTACTCATGTTGTTGGAAATTGTGCCTTAGGGCTAATAATTGTACTATACACATTGTTATTTAATAAATTTTTCTTTTGTTATCATAACAATTGCATGTTCAATATGATAATTGTATCTCTAGACAAATTATAGTGATTGTCCTAAATGTCCTTGGTCAATTATCTTTGAGGGATCATAGATAAAACAAGACTAGTATGACTTTGATTAATTATAGAGATATAAATTAAAGTCATAGGCACTTGAAAGAGTACAAGGTGCTGGACTGACCTGCTATGAGAAAGCTACATGGTACAAGTCATAAGCTTATCTTATATGTAACTATATTACTAAGCCCTTTGACCTAAGATCATTATGGATTTCTACATGATGACCACTGAACTTTGACCTAGTCAAAAGTCACCTTTAACTGGGTGATCATAAAGGCTATGATTAAGTTTAGTGATATTCATGTAAAGGAATATGAGTGTTCAAGATGGAATTTGTCCCTCACATTAAGTGAGAGATATTACTGGGCCCCTTGATGAGTAAGACTGAGAAAATGTATGGCCATACTACAATGGAAAGAGTTTTTCTATTGCTATTGTCAATCTACTTAGAGATTGAGAAAATAATGGTTAGGTAAAGGAGAATGACAATTTCATGTCTCATATTTGACTGAAATATTACGTGATAAAAGGGATGTAATATGGTTGCATGATAGGTTATATTGGATCATCAATCCTCATGTAAATTGGGTAGTTGAAATGTCTTGCTAGAGGTCACTTGTAACTTATGGGCTAATAACGTAATTAGCCAATTGCCAATTTCATATGGACCTACAGGGTCACACACAAGAATGGCCTAACTCGAGCTATAATATCCAAGTTCGTTGAATCTAGAATATGTCTAAATTCAATGAATATAATATTGGGTGAATGAATTATATATATATATATATTTGAATATTTATTTGATAAATATTTATATATATATATATATTTATATAAAATATAAAATTTAAAATATAATTTTATATATATGTATATATATTTCAAAAAATATATATATATACCCATATATGTGTATATATAAGATATATATATGTATATGATATATAAAATTAAATATAGATAATATATATATATTATATATATATTTATATATATATAATATAATATGTATATGTGATATATATATATATATATCCACCATATATGTATATATATAAGATATATATATATATATCTTATTTAAATATATGTGAAAAAATGTAGATGTAAACACTGCAAATATGTCAATAGAAGCAATATTTTTAGGAATGTAAAAAACTGGTGGAATAAAAAATCTCAAGAATATAGAGAAAAATTTAGAAGATTAGATAAAAGTTATAATAGTAAAAGAGAATATTATACTATGTTAATAGATAAATATATAAAAATATTATTAAATGAATTTGGAGGAATAAGTATGGATATAAATGAAATAAGTAAATAAAAAGAAGCAATAAAAATACTACATGAAATAGAATTATGTTCATTAGAACTAGAAAGGGATTAAGGGGGGATTATTATCTAATGTTTAACAAAAGTTTTGGATTTCTACAATGATCCTATAAGGGGAATTACTAGTTATGTGTTGTTATGGCTACGCCTCTAGTAGGAAACGAAGGAAGGCTGTGCTGTGCTGTGCTGGTCTGAAGGAAGTGATTCTGTGAAAGGTCTATAGCCAGGCTTTTGAGACTGTCGGCTTGTTATTCTTAGTATGAAAGAGGACTAAGAACCTTTCATGTTCTGCTATGACCCGGATCAGTGTCGATCAAACCCTGTAGCAACACATAGCCAGTTGGGTAGCCATAACAACACATAACCAGTAATTCCCCTTACAGGATCATTGCAAAAATCCAAAACTTTGGTTAAGCATCAAATAATAATCCCCCCTTAACCCCTAAATAAAAATTACTTAGTCATACCTATTAATCTTCAATACTTGCAAAGGGGGAAATAAATGAACAGGATACTTTTATTGATAGTGAGAAGGCAAGGTTACAAGGAGGCAGAGAACTTAAGTGCTCAAGAAAGCTCTAAGATTCTCAGCTGTTGTGTTGCCTCAAAGATTACATGGCTTTATATAGAGTTGACATTCCAATCCTGGTTACATAACCTTGGTTAATTTTAACTCTAATAATTACAAGAAAACAAAACTACTTTTGACAAAATAAAAAAGTTAGATTTAGACTTTATAGACTTTTTGACAAAATGAAAGGCTAAAGTAATTATTACAAGAGGCATAATGGGCTTAGGCTTTCTTTTTAGCTCTTAGTCTTTTTGACTTTCTCTTCTTCCATCTTCTTCAATCTTCTTTTACTTGTCGGCAAGCTAATCCAAAATATTCATGTTGATAGAAGGGTCTTTATAGTCTTTGTCTGCTTCTCTTTTTTCATCATAATATTTACATTTATGGATAGCATACTCTGACAATACTTGACATATTTTCTTCTTTGTCCCTTCATTATTATCCATTCAATTATTTCTTAGTCTTTGGTACCAATTATTGAAGCTTCTTAAATTCCTGCTATTTTTTCTACTGAGAAAATACATGTTGTTGGGCCAGTGGAGTATGTCCACTATTCTTCTTCTGCTGTAGTTGTTCTATTGAGCTCTTGGAAAATTATATGTACTTCTTGGGCTCTGATAGTGGATATCTTATATCTAAGATCTTCATCATTAATAATATCTTCTTTTTCTTCTTGTTCATACTCAAATGGTCTTCTTGTTGTCCAGAACTTAATCAAATTAATTGGAGGATAGAACTTGTCAGGAGTTATTTCTGCTATAGTTGAGTAACACCGAATAAAGACTTAATATTGGGTTACTATTCCAAAATAATGTTTGGCGGCTTCTTTAATAGATTCAGGAAGTTTAGATATGAAATGAAACAGTATGATTTAATAAAAGAAAGTAGATCTGAACATTCATCACCTGCTATGATTGTAGTAAAACATAGTGAATAAAAAAGAGAAAAGTCAAGATTAGTAATAAATTATAAAAAATTAAATGAATTAGCAATAAGAAATAGATACCTAATTTCAAAAATAGATTTATTATATAACCTAATAAGAGGAAAAATATATTTAGCAAATTTGATTGCAAATCTGGATTTTTTCAAATAAAATTAGAAGAAGAGAGTAAAAAATATATATACTGCTTTTAGTATATCTGAAGGATTGTATG